TGTTGTACTCAGGGTGAACATGGATTGAGGCAGCAAACAGAGGAGATTTCTCGAGGGCTTTTACCTCATTAAGTCCCATGAAAATCTGCAAGTCAATATCATAAAAGGAAAGATTTACCAAGGGAATCCCAATCAGACAGAGATCATACAAAGTAATGCTCACAGTCAACTACTTACCCGTACAGATTCATTTGCTACCATCACTCCCTTATTTACTACATTATGAGCTGCTGTCATAATCCACCGGTCTCCAATCACCATGCCTCCTGCCCTGTTTCCACTTACACTCAGTAGCACTTGCCAGGGGATTGTATTATCTGGAGCATCCTGGCCTCCAAAGATCCTCTGATGCACATTGATGTGATTTGTTGGCTGACCACAAACTGAATGGGATACAAACTTACATATAAATCTCACACATCAATTTCCCATTAAATTAACCATTTGATCTTCATCAAGTTTTGCGGGATGGAAATGTATACCTGGTAAACAAAGTGGACTGTCAATAACTTCATGGGTTGATCTCCATTTCCTGTCTGCATCACATGTGAAGTTAACTGAGGAGCAGAAGAAGAAACAATGTGACTTTTACTTTTTTTTTTTGCTGATCCTCAAGAGTTTCAGTTCTCCCCCTTGTGGAAGAAATGTAAAGGGTATATATTTCCAGTTAAATCATGTTAGCATTTAAATCTTATTTAAGTTTTGTTGTTTTATGGTAGTATATATCATGTATCATCATATCAGTATGTCATGATAGTTTGACTGAATGAGAATCGCACATTATAGTTAATGGAGCCTGCTAATAGTAAAGTTTCAGAACTGTGCAAAAGGAAAGTAATGAACAGTAGGAATCCAAAACAGATTGCACTATTAACATCTCACCGTTTGCATCCCCAAGGAGAGAGTAAAATGGTTCATTGCAGCGATACTGAATAACAGAAAGATACTGATTCTGAAACCCAGAAAGGAAGGCCACGCCTCCGTTCAGCAAGGGGTCAGGTTCTCCGCAATCAATTACTGCAGAGGAACAAAACAAGAAAATACAACAAAATGCTTTTTGTCTGTGAACACTAGTATGGATGGAGAAGACTTTGTGTATATATGCTTAGAGACGACCTACTGTGGCATTCTGGCAGAGGAAGGTGCCACTGCCCATTGCTTTGGCAAATGGAAGAGAAACTCTCCATCTCCCGACCATTCTTTAAAGAAGGGTATAAAAACCATGTTTTACATTATACACAGTAACCAGGAAACAACTATTTTGTTTTTCACTGTTAAAAAGCACAATTTCAGCTAACCATCATCAGCTTGTATCCTTGATCGCAGCGTACATAGATGTAATCTCTGAAGAGATATTCACTCAAATTAGGAGTGACCCTGCCTTTAGCTACACTTCCAGGTGATGGACACTTCACCCCTGGAAACAGCAAAAACATATATTTTACACTGAGATTTAAACCCAGAAGGACAACCAGGAGAACTGCAGTTGCTTGATGACATGTTACTGTGTGTGCTGTAGTCGAGGCTCCAGCCATTGCTCTGTCCTTCATCATCAATGTGGTATTCCAGCTTGACCATGTTTGAGTTTGTGACTATCAGTCCTGGGCTCGTTTTGCCACATAGCTTTGTGGGCTGTTCGTCTCTGACAGTCAACTTTTTAGGAGAGAGTAGTGCACAGTTTATTAATTGTATGACATATAGAGACATTTTTATTTCCTGTGATTTTGATGAATCTAGGTGTGCTGAAATCGCTCGCCATTACCTCCAACCAGTGATGGAGACATTGCGGGCCCTCTGGGCTGTCCATGCTCTCAATGTGGAAGTTGTCAGTAAAGTTTAGAGTAATAGTGAAGCCCTCTTGTACAGAAATGACATACTGACAGGACACAGCATGAGGTGGGTGATTAGGGTATCCCGGACTGAACAGATGCCCCTCTGGTTCATCAAATATACCACCGCCACAGGATACTGGGCATGAGAGAGAGGAAAGAAACTGAGAAACTTTACCCTCTTAATGAATTGACTGAAGTGTTTGAGGATAATTTGGGGAGTCCTTACACAATGTTTTAAGTCCAGAATCAAAAAAGTGATAATAATTAGTGCTGTTTGATGACCCAACTACCTACAACATTAAACCCAGACTCCCCATCCTCTCCTCTTTTTTATAGTGCTTTTGGTAATCTTGAGATCCTACATGTTTGAATGTGTTTGTGAAGTGGAGCTAAGTTCTCCCAGCAGACTCCAGTTTGATGGTCTGAGCATACATTAGTTGGAAGCATCTTCATGGTACTCACACACACAGGTGCGCTGATCAGAGCGAAGTTCATAGCCATGATGACAGGAGCAGAGATATGAGCCAAGAGTGTTGAGGCAGATCTGAGAGCAGAGTGGCCCTGAGCCATCTCCAGGCTCTGGTGCAGAACATTCATCTATGTCTAATAATGAGAAGTCATTACGTTAGTGTGAGTTGGCGCAGCAGTAAAAGAAGGAAGTGCAAGAAGCAGAGGTGGAGGAGCTACCTATTGCATGGTACTGGGCAGAGAAGCCCAGATTCTGGTGGGCCTCCGGGTTGTTGCTGTCTGATTGAAAGATGAGGGTGAGACTGTTTCCTGGAGACAAGATGGGCTCGTTGCCTGGGTGATGCCCATCAGCAGAATTCTCACTGCCACAAAATTTCCAGAGGGCCTTCTCTTTGTAGAAAACCTAAAGGATCAAAGAATAAAATCCTACATGAAAATAAGGCAAAATCCAGAAGATGAAAATTTATGTTCAGTTCATGGGTTCTTCATTTAAATGTCTAAGATGGTTAAAAGTGCCAGAAAGGCCAAACATAATCCAATGACCCGCCAGAACTAATGCTAAGTTTAGTTAAGTCAACATCAAACTGGATATAGTAATGCAGAGAAAAAAATCTGTTCAGTTATGTGTCCCTCTACCATCTTAAATTCTGTGCAACGTCACAGTAAAGACTGACTCTGAAACTTTCTGTCATAGCAGCAGCGATAAAATCTGCTGATAAGCTACAGCTATCTGTTGCTGTTGTCTCCAGTGGTTATACACTGTTGTAAATTTTTAACTTACAATTATCACAATCAACAAGATGATCACGGTGATTACCAGGGTTATCATAGTTTCAGTTTAGTCTTTTTTAAGTATTATTGTATGGATGTATATTTCAGAGGCAAGATTTAGGAAAATCAAGTACTACAATAAAAACACGCATTTTTGAAAGCAGTTGACTGACAGTCCTCTAGATATCCAAAGTCTCATTAAACATGTTTGGCAACATCTCATCAGACAAGTGTCGATAAAATTTTGTGACTCTGCAATTATATTTTATTTTAATTTCCCAACTTTAAAAAATAATTTCAGTTAGTTTTAATTTTATTCAAAAGTTTTTCAAAGATTTTACATCTAGTTTTAACTATAATAACCTTGTTAATTACCTTGACAGAAACATGAAAACATATGTAAGTGGTAAACTCAAATCAGGTTGTCAAGCGTTGCTCTTGAATCATATTTGGGTTTTCACCTTAAGCTATTTATTAATATTATGATTTTTAGGGTAATTCTGTATATGTATTGAAATATGGGTCTGACTGTAAGTGAGTCGTAGTAGCAGTTCGCAGAAGCTTCAATATCCAAATGTGTGAAGGTGAGTCGAATCTGGTAGCCCTCAGGGACAACGAGGTCCCACTGCTCCTGCAGGTTGGGAGGGTAAGGCTGAGGGTACAGAGGGGATTGGACCTTCCCGTACATTTGAGGCTCTGGTTCTGGCAGAGGTGAGCACTCACACAGTGACACATACAGAAACCTAGAAAGGTACAAAAAAGGAACGAGTTTGATCTGTTTATCAGTCTGCAGTCATCTGATCTGCCAGTCCAAAGTTGATACAAACAGAGAAGAACAAACACAGTGGCACAATCGACACCACTGTGCAACTAATATAATATTGTCAAGACTGCATATATATGGCATACTGACTGATGAATAAAAATATAAAACACTGTTCATCTAAAGTGAATTCTTGCAGATTATCAGTATAAAAACACAAGTAATTCTCCACTATTTTCAGCTACATGATTTGAAAATTTCTGCACAAAAGTGGAAATTTATGACCCAAAAAGGGATTTTAGGAGATATTTGACAACTTGAAAATGTCTAATCCACTTACCAGATGATACAAGAGGCCCAGCGCATTTTCCAATTAACCGTATCCATGAGTGAACTGGTCGGCTGCTGCGAGAGCAAATGTCTCACATTCAAGTAAAACATTAATGTCACAAAGTCTGTCGTTTCCAGTGTTTAGCAACTCTCTACGTTAATGCCAGGAATTGTTTATCTTGGCAAAATCAAGCAACTCCAAATTGCAGATAAACAGGAAAAAATTTGTTCTAAACTAGAGAACGAGACAGACTCTCAAATTCTACATCTAAAAAATGTAACATAAACTCATGCAATTTTTGAGCACAATTATCACATTAGAATAATGAAGCGATCTTGATTTATTTCACTGTCTAATCCACTCTTAATCCTCATCCTACCACCAGAGGGCGGCATTAACAGTTTTTTAGGCATCCTTGATCACAGCAAGTGTTTTCAGAGTTTAACTTGAGGCCAAGCAGACATGCCGAAACGTCTGGATGTTAAAATAGCAGGTGAAGCAACTGATTTCCAGAATGAGGAATCAGATTCATCAAGTATGTGGATGTGTTTGTTGCCTGTCATTATTTATATCACCATGTGGTTTATTTCTGCCCTCAAAATAGCATCAGTGTTTCAGTTTCTGAAGGCGAACTGAAACAACCTGTTCCTCTCTGCTTTACCTTAGAATGTTTTGCATTAGTTCCCATAAGTCTGACGCTCTTTAGTCTTGTGTTCTTGTGTTTGTTTAACCTTGTTAGTTGCCAAAACGGACTGATCTGAGTGTAGAGGCCGCCACGCTGTTATTTTACAGACCACTAGAGGGGGCCACCAACAAAAATCTACTATTGAAAGGTTTACATTTTTTATCTGGTCGCAACAACCATGTATATTTCTCAATTTTATTTAATTTAGCTCCTCCCAGCAAAAGCATCCTAAAACTTTAACTGATCGAGGCATAGAAAATCTGTTATTTTAAGTTGACAGAGACAGGAGTCAGCTATAATTTGATACAAAATTAGAAAGTCTGTTACAATGATGCTACTTGGCTAACAAATTTTAATACAGATACATTTAATACACATTTTAATAAAAACAATGAATATTTCTTAATGTTTTTTTATTAAAAAGTAGTACAAAGGATAATCGGGATTCATTCATTGTTATTATTAGTAGTAGTAGTAGTAAAAGCTACAAAGGGATAAACCTATGGGAAAGAGTTGTTGAAGCTAGGCTGACAGGTGATGGTCACTGAGCAAGAAAGCGAACTACAGATGCTATTTTTGTTTTGATGGAGAAGTCTAGAAAAGGTCAGGAGGAATTGCACTGTGTCGTTGTTTATCTTGAGAAAGCATAAGATAGAGTTCAAAGAAAGGAAGTGTGGTTCTGCATGAGGAAGTGTGGCAGAGTGAGGGTGAAAGTGAGGGTGGTGCAGGACATGTATGAGGACAACAAGGCAGTGGTGAGGGGTGTGATATGGGTGACAGACTGGGGTGGGATGATATCAGGGGTCAGCTCTGATCCACTGGACAGGTTGACAGATGAGGTCAAGCAGAGTCTCCGGGCCTGTGATTGTATGATGCTTGCAGATGACATAGTGAGGAAAATGGAAGATTTCCAAGATAATAATGAGACTTACGTGCTTGAAAAGAGAGCAACTGGGCATTCCTTTCTTGTCTTTTTTAATTGGAAAAAAATGTCTCCTGTCATCCAAGAGGCTTGTCCAGTTCTAAGACCAAAGCGTGTAGAGCTCCCAAATATTTAAACCCTTGACCTATACTTTCAATCATGTGCATCATCTCATGAACCAAGGCAAACTCCTAATCAGAATATTTTATTAAACCCAGAGAAAATTCTGTGGTCCCAGTTGGTCCAAGACAGTAAAAATAGTAAGAAATGAGTTAAAGTACTATATTAAATAATACATGACATTACAAAATATTGCTCAGTAGCTCCAATAATACAAATATCTCTAATATATAAAGGTATATGGCGTGCAACGTCTGCAGTGTGTATCTGTGCTTTTAAATGGAATCCTGTTTGCAAATGACCTTAAAATAAGGGGAATGGGTCAGAGGTGTAGATGACACCATCGTGACACCTTGAACTACCTTATCACATGATCTATTGAGGTCACCTGGTGTAAGATGTGAGTCGGGGTTGGAGTGTCTGGGAAGGCATCTAAAGACTGAGAGCGTGTGAGCCACCCCCTCTGTTCAGTGATGGTCATTTACAGTTTTAAATCATCTGTTTTCTCGGTCCAAAATGGGAACTCATTCCTTGAAAGAGGGACCTTTATACTTTAGGTGTAACTGTATAGCGGAGTCTTGTACTGTCGAGGTGGCTTTTAGTAGTGAGAGCTGTTATGATGTACAGTTTGGAGATTGTAGCAAAAAGACAGGAGGCAGAGCTGAAGGTTTGAAGACTTTCACTGGGAGTGACCGAGAAGAACAGGGTTAAAAATTTGAGGACCAGCTCAGGCTGAGTTGGTTTTGACATCTGCGGAGAAGGGATGGTGGACGTATTGGACAGAGGATGTCAGACAGGAGGAAAAGAGGAAGACCAGAGAGAACCTTCATGGATGAGCTGAAGGAGAACATGCAGAGAGCTGGTGTGGTAGAGGAGGTTAGGTTTAGATGAAAGCAGATGTTGCACTGTGGGGGGGTTTCAGCCGTTCAGCACTTTGGTCAGCAGCTGGGTTTTTTTTAATGTGGTATACAAATAAATTTGACTTGACTTGAATTAAATGCTCACACTATTTACATTTATCGCGTCATTCTTTGTAACTATATTGTTTTCAGTGCATGCCAACCAACCCCATACAATAATTTCATTTGTGTCATTTCTAAATATTAGCTGGTTCCTGTGATTTACATAAGCTTTCATAGACTTCACTATGAGAAAAATGAGCAGGACATTGAAATAAGGCCAAATCTATCATGTATTTATTTATTTTTAGGTCTGTGTTTTTTAAAGTATATTTATTGCCTCCATGAGCTCTGACTCTCACAGTCTGTGGTCTCACATGCAGCTGGCTAGTTTGACTTGTGGGCGTTTAGCTGGATGTTTGATTCTCCTTTATATCATCTTATCATCTTCTGTCACAGTGTAGTTCAGTTTAGGAAGTAAAACCACTCGGCTGAATCTAGGACAGCTCAGAAACCTGTGTGAGAGATAACCAAAAATTCAAACTTACCCCATGTGCACCGTCTACAGCTGCCAACATCTGTTGCTGTTGAAGGCCAAAGCAAAGCAACTGAATTCTGTTTGTTTTTTAAACACAAGCATCTCTCTCTCTCACCATTTAACTCAGTTTCTTTGGGTCTTGCAATCATCCGATTGGCGAGACGGCCTCGCAGTTTGATCATGTGTTAAAGTATGCACATTCATGCATTGATCATTTTTGTATTCGGAAAAGAAATACAGGTGAATGTATGGGGAAAAAAACATATAACGGGCAGTTAATAAGTTCAGTTTTGTTTTGGATGGATAGATTTACAGTAAGTAATATGTGTCACCACTAAGCGGCAGTAGAGCATCACTACCCCTAATGAGGAAGTGAGACTGGAGCCATGATTTGTTTTCGTAATGAGCTGAGGGTTGTTTTTAATTATAGTTTAGTTTTTTTTAAAGAGCATATTGGCTGCAGTATTAATCAGAACAACTTTTATGAAGATTGCACTGCTGTGACGCTAGAACATGCTTCTCATACTGATGTTAAACACTGCAGTGTCAGGGATTAGGCCGATGGTTTGTGGCTGTCTAAAAATAAGTGCACTTCTCCTGTGTGGCTCTGTCAGGCTGTTTGTTTGAGGGCCTTGTTTTCAGTTGTCATGCACTATTATGCAGACACTGTCATGCAATATCGGAACAATACACCACTTCTTATAGAGTGTGTCTGTATGTTATAACAGTAGATATCATAGCCAGACTTCTGCCACAAAAATAACAAATAACTGAAGAATTATTTTGAAAAAATAAATTGTTTAAAAAAAAATAGGCGAATTGGTTAATTAATTCAATACTGAGAGCAACATCTGGAGCTGCTGGTGTTAGTTTTTTAATGTGAGAAAGCTTGTTTGTCTGTAAAGCACTGTGATGATCCTCTAATTTATGGTTCTAACTACATTAGAAATGAGTACATCGGAAGGACGGCTCAGGTTAAGCGATTTGAAAATAAAGAGGGACGATGTCGAGATGGTTTGGACATGTGCAGAGGAGGCGTAGTGGATATGTATTGGACAAAGGATACTGAAGATGGAGCTGCCGGGCAGGAAGAAAAAGAGGAAGGTGGATGTAGTGAAGGAAGGACACGCAGAGGGTTTGTGTGACAGAAGAAGATGCTATAGACTATAGAGACAGGGTGATATGGAGGCAGATTATCTGCTGTGGCAACCCCTAAAAGAAGCACCGGAAAGGAAAAGAAGATCATAGCCTGCTGTCACTTATAGGGAAAATATACTGATTATACAAGAGTTTTTAAAAATGCAGCTTTGTGTGTCTCTTAACTAATAGGGATTAAATAATTGAAAACACGCACACACACACAGATTGTCTGCAGATGATTTGCAAACATTTCTCTTTAATAGGAAACAATGTAGAAATAACAAGCTGTTCTGATTGTTTTATTTATTTTGGTACATTTGATTATAAGGTTGCAGTCTTTATTTTATAAGCAAAGTAATTTTTTAAAATGTGAATCAGCCCTGAAAATGATTTTATTATCGTATATAACAGAGTGATTTCTTCATCATTTATTTTACTTTCTCTCTGATTCTTCTGCCTCTACTCTCTCTATTGTCTGCTTAATCCACTTCACATAATTCCCTACCTTAGTATAATAACCCTTGTTCACTATTGCAGTTGAGTCTCGTTGGGGAATCCGACAGCGAGCTCCCCATGACACAACCCCAGTCAGATAGTAAGGCCCACTGCTAGAAGACAACATGGGCAAAACAAAAGGACCTCCACTGTCTCCTTTACAACTGTCCTTCCCGCTGTCTCCAGCACAGAACATGTTATTACTGAAACTCATAGGGTTGCCATTCAGTCTCGGTGTTTTCTCACACTCTCTGCGTGAG